TTCGCTGCTGTGCTGGGCCCAAGTTTCTGATAGATGTCTAGATGACTTTCTATGCAAGAAGATAAAATGCTACATATCTTTTACACTGATTGAGCTGCAATGAAAGACACTCCTGCTTTACACTGACTCACCACCTAGATCCTCATAGCTGTAAGCTTAAGAAAAAAATGTCCGTAGTAATTATAGGACAGGTAGCTTACCTGTATTTGGATATTTCAAACAAATGATTGTGGGAGAATGGGCAATTTAAAATCTGTTCGACTCATGGTCAGCTGAGTGCCTACCACACCCTGTTAAAAGGTACTGTGTACAGTAGTTTATAATTATGGATTGCAGCATAGGCTAAAACGAGAATCAGCGTGTGCAAGTTTCTAGCTAATGCATCTAATAATACAGCGCTGTACACAAAGGATCTGTCAGCAATTGATGCAAAAAAGTCCAACCAAAATCTTTTTTATTTTCTTTCTTCTGAATTTAACAATAAGGAATTTAAGCCTCAATGTGGCTTTAGCAACCAAAGAAAAGAAGCTCTTGGTGTCTGCATAATACCACTTTGATGGATTTTTTCATCAGTCCTCTGTACGTGGCAACAAATAAACAAGTATAATTATACTTGTGAAGGCCTATTCATTGCTTTGTCAGGATTAGATATATGTGCAGTTTTCACACTGAGCCTCTCTTTTGTCTTTGCCTAACTCACTATGACATATTGATAGAGGATTTGGTATGGGGAAAAGGCCACAGCAGAGACAGTGATGACCTTTTGGAAACTTGATATAATTCAAGGATTTTTATTTATTTTCTTCTTATTTTTTTTTCCCCCAGAAAGACTTCTTTAACTTGTTACCGAATTCAGAAGCAAGTGTGCAACTTTTAACCCTTTTTTACCAAAGTAAATAAGGAATCAAAAGTATTATGAGATGGCTAAAAAGCAGATGGGAATAAAAACAATAGGCTAAGGAGCCTCTTGGTCTTCTTTCCCAGCCTTTAGCACTGTGGCTAACCTAGCATTCCTTTCCCATTATTCCATCCTCTTGATCAGATCACGTTCTTTTTAATCATTTCACAAACACTGTCTCACTGGACCGTAGAAGAGGGCTGGGACAATCTCAATTAAAAAACAGAGGTAAAACTGGCACTTGTGATTCTTTGTTCTAGTGGGAACTCTGCATTCTAAATGCAGAGGAATTCTTCTATTGTTCAGAAAGCACCCCCTTTTCATTAGCAAATCTGGCTGCACCCCCTTTTCATTAGCAAATCTGGCTGTAGGTGGATTTCTGTAATTTAGCTGAGCAGAGTTTAGAGCACAGTTTCTCCAGGAGGAAAGCAGAGGTTAGCAATTGAAGCTTTTTTGTATATTGACCATTAGTTCTGAGAAAAAGATTTAGATGATCCAATTTAGTGACCTTGTGAATTAATGAGAGAACTTTAAATGCTATGCAGAGCACCAGGTATGTATTTCTGCGAACTTAGCTGATAGCACTGACAGATTTGATTTTTCTTGGTGTCTTAAGGCTGCACAGATATGTCCTTAATATATGTGCACTTTTTTTGTTTGTTTGTTTGTTTTAGTGTTTGCATATCAGAAAGAAGTATACTGTAAGGTTTGCACTGTGAGTACTTTTGTGAAGAGAATGGAATTCTGTTGTAGAGATTTTGTGGAATAATATTGGTTCTGAGGCAGTCCTTGTGATATTTTTTAGCTATGACTTTGTGAAACTTCAGTATAACTAATAGAAGGTCCCTGGGGGGAAGAGATTTTTTATTTTTAATACTGAAGATGCTGTAACATCTAATGGATGTGTGTTCCATCATATGTTACATACAATCAGTAAGTCATCTCAGTAATCTTTTTCCTTATCGAGGTGTAACAATTTCATCTACCTAACCTTGTAACAAACATGGCCACAAAGACTGTAAACAGCTCAAATATTGAAATATACATTATGGTTTCTCTGTGTGTTGCTGTCAGTTGAAAGATTTAGTATTTGTTTTAACTGGAATGAAATATACTCTTGTTTATACAACTGTGATCAGAGGGTTGATTCAATTGTGTAGGACTGATTAGTACTGAAGTTATGTAAGGAGGCCGACAACTGTATATGTGCAGTTCATTTAAAAATGTTAAGTAACAGAAAAGATGTTATGACACTCGTTACTGTACTGGTTTTGTTTTGCACTTTGGTTAAGTAAAGATGTGTGACAGAAGATTTAAAAGTCTAGTTTAGTTCTGCTAAATCTTTTAAGAGTGGAAATTGCCACAGCAAGACTGTTCAGTGCAGGGTTGTGGGAAGAAGAGGACGGGTGAGATGCAACACTGTAGAACCCATTTTGTGTCTGCCTAAAATTATTGAATGCTCATAAATGCCACTCTGGTCGCATTATAGTATGCATGCCCACGACTATTCTGGCAACATTTTTTGTGTACGTGCTGGACACTATGATGCTGTTTTATACTGGGGTACACTGCAGTATGGATAGAGCTTGCTTCAAGTATCCA